GAAAGGAAACGTTTCGAGCTGTACTAAAACATGTCATCCTGTCTTGTGATAATCTACCCGAGGACCCGAATTAGATTGACATTGATAGAAGTTACGGAGGTTGAAAACTGGCTGAGATGCTAGAAAGAAAAGGTGGGGGAAAAGGAGTCTGTAATTGATGGGAAAAGCTGGGCGTCTAACAGAGATCAGGGTATGTACCACCCTGTTTAACATCTTCCTTAATGAGAGGGTGGTTGGAGTAAAACCAACCTGTCAATAAAAATTAGGAGGTGTTGCAATCATGGGAAAGAATGGGGACCTAATTCTAGGGGACCCACGTAGTGGTGGCAGTGTCACAGCATCGATTAATTCGAAGCTATTTGAAGCTCTGTTGATTTCAATGGAGAATTTGGCTTAGGGCCCCAGTGGCTCCGGGACCCACGAGTACCACATCGCCGAAAGGTGAGAAAGGCAGGAATCGTGTGGGTTAGGCTCTTGGAAAACACTGACCCTAAAAAGCAAGGACACTTAAGCTCAGTTTTCAACTGCTATAGCAGCCAAACATCCTCCCCGCTCTCCTCCCCCAACACCCACTCCAAAAAGCAATAGGATTTTTGAGGACAGCAGATAATAAGGATCCTGAAACAGAGAGGTAGCTCTGTCCTCTCTATAGCTCCGTCAGAAGACTCCCAAAGATGACTTGCATTCGTAGACATCTGAAGGGCCATGATAAGGCTGTAAATAACTGAAGAGAGTAAATAGTGAAAGTGGTGAGAGTTGAGGCTGCTGTAAGGGGAAATAACAGGGAGTAGTGGGATGAAATTGAGTAAAATAAAACACCAGCAGAGTATCAGGATTATTATTTTTTTTTGGTCCAAGAGTTAGATTTGTTCAACTGTGAAATAGACTCCCAAGGGAAGGAGACTATTACGTTAGTCGTTTAAATCTGGAGAGGACAAAGCACCAGTTAATATATTCAATGGAACAGTTGTCTTGCCTTGGCAGAGAAATGGCCAGATATAATCAAATTTAGTTTTTCCATCTCAGATGTCAGAGATTCTGGTGGAGGGGGTTTTTTTCCCCTCGCTTTTCACCAGGGTGAAAAGAAGACACCTTTTTTTGTAAGTGGAAAAACACCAAGTTCCTAACAGCAGCAGAAGGCCAAATTGAAATTTCGATGCCGAGGTCTTCTGTGGCTGGAAACAAAATTCATTCTTTTGTCTGTGGCAGATTGAACTTGAAATTTAAAGAGACGGAAAATTTATATGTAAGTGCATGTGACAAATTCATTTTCACAACTCGTGTGTACTTACTGAGCAGGGGTTGTTTTCTTGGTGGTAGGTGAAAGGAGTGATTGGTCGCTCTGTGCTGGTGGGGAGAGAAGTAATCTGCTCTGCTTCAAGATAGATCAGTGTTGGCTCCTATCTCAATGCCTTTTTTACTGTTTTTCTTTTCAAAAGGCAGATACTCAGTGTGTTGTTACTTTTATTTCCGTTTATTGACCCTTCAGGAAATTTAAAATGAGACCAGTTAATCCACATAAACCCCTTAGAAATGTGAAAGGTCTTTCTTGTGATCTTGCGTGGCCCTTCCTAAACCCACCACCTGAATGCTCGCGACAGCTCTGAGCGTCTGTTTGCCCCATGCAACGTCCTAGCTTGGATCCAGAAGTGTGCAACCGAGTAAATGGCTCTGCAAGGTCCATATTGAGCTGACGTGGGCTGAGCCAGCACAGATAAGTCCGTACTGCAGCACCCAGCAACTCCAGTTCTTGGTTGACAGATCCAATGTTGAATCTCCGCATCTTTTTGATGCACAAGGTTTCTATCCATGTTGGAGAAGCCCTTTTTTCAGGGAGGACAGTAACAGAAAAAGGTCTGTCTGACATTTACACCTCTTCAACCCCTTGCGTTGTAGGACACAGCAAACATACATTATTTCTAGATGTCTTCTAGCCTTGTGAGCAAGAGGTGGTGGGTGTTTGAGAGGAGGCACAGATCAGTCCCTTAGCACACAAGGGAGATCTTGATTTTGTTGCGGCTAAACCTCTTCATGGGACCAGGACCTCTAAGACCTTGTCTTTTCAGATGCTTCCTTTCTCAAGTCACACTGTGCTGGTTGTTCGGTGGGTTTGCCATGTTCCCATTACAGAGGGCAGGAAAAAATCCTACTGCTGCCCATTGGAGAGGTCACCATCATGCTTTTGCTTTGAGTGATGTGGAGAGGTCGCACGTGTTTCTTCTTGGACTGGAGAAGCGGTCCAACTGGTCACCATACAAGGACCTCCTAGAAGAGCAGCCTTCCAGGTGCTGACCAGAGAAGGAAATCAATGATAGGATCTAGAAGGGAACACTAGCACCCCTAACTCCCACTTGCCTTTTCCAGGAGGTAGAAAACCACCTCCTAGATCCTTACCCAAGAATGGGAGAGAACTTTCCTCTCTAGAGTCACAGTGTGCCAGTGAAGTAGCAAACATTGACGAGGACTATGCTGATGGTTGTTCATGAGCAATCCTGACACAAAAAATAGGCAGCTAATTGACTCCTCCAAATGCAGCATCCCATTTGTCTCCTGCAATCGCCAGTGAGGAATTCAGATTAGTTACACTGCCAAAAATATTAAACGGGGAGAGTCTTCGTAATTGAAATATGCTGTGATCTTTGATTTGATTTCACACATACATATGATTTAGCTGAAATCTCTGTTATTTGATGTTTTGGATGACTGGAGAGAAGATCCTGGACCCTTCATTGCCTTTCGTTGCTTCAGACCTGGTCCCCAAGCTGGGCCAGCTGGTGTGCGGTGAGCTGGTGGCTTCCACCCAGGTCTTCCTGGGCAGGTTTCCACATCGCAGTCACAACACAATCAGCAGTGGCTGGCGAGCTTGATTGAGATTGCAGAGAACAAACGAGCCATGGAGAAACTACCTTCTCTCTCTTCTAGTACAGAATGACCTCCTCCGGTTGTGTAAATGATTGCAAGTTGAATTATTTCAAGGGTAGGGAGAATATGGCCCTTTTTCCCTTAAAGCACTCTATCAAAGTACATCAAGGGTTTAAGAGAATTTTACATCCTGACCACCCGCGTTCCCGTGCCCTCCACACAAGCGCTTTGTGGAATTCCTCTTTGGACCCCTTCCTTAATGCTTAATGCGCATTTGTATGTGATAGGGATTTTAATGAATATGTGTGGAATTGCATGAAAAGTACAATTTGCTTCGCACTAATGTGATTGTTGCTGCTTTCCCCATAGGAGCATTGTGCAGTCAGATGAAAAGCTGGTGATCAGCGCATCCTGGGCTAAAGATGATGATATTAGCAGGCTCCTGAAATCTCTGCCCAACTGGAGCAACATGGCTCAACCCAAGCAACTGAGACCCAAGAGGGAGGAGGAGGAAGACTTTATAAGGTAAACTATTTTATGAAGTTGTAAAAGGGTTTCAAGGAGAGTAGCAGCAACAGTAAAACCTGCTGGAAACAAAATAATTACGGTGTTTGCATAGCTGTTGTGTCCCCAGGTGTGAGAAGAGGTTGAGATGTGGTCGTTCCTCAAGTAGACTAATGACACTTGGGTCCACGTGCCATGATGCTGTGTGATTTTAAAGCCAGGCACCAGCTTTGCTGAACTGAGAACTTACTGTGCGTTGCCTGGATTTGGCTCTGTTGGTGGTATCGAGAAAGCGTTACAGAAGTTATCTGTTATGGGGATGTTTCCGGGCTTTGCTTATCAGTCATATGATGGATTGATAAACCATCCTGAAGCTCGTTATCCTTCAAGAGAAAGGAAAAAGCAGAGCTCTCAGAACTTCTTCTCACATGCAACAAGGGCAGAAGAGAGGGCGGCCATAGTTCAATAAGGAGCTTCAGTGGCAGTGCCAGCTTGCTACTTTCCTGCCCTTATTGCTCATTTCTGCTCGCTCTGCTGTTCAGACGAGGCTATTTGAAGAATCGTGCTTGGGAACCAAGTCAGGAAAGTGGCTGGAATTGGGGAGGAAAAGAAAGGACTGTTTTTAATTCCAGGCAGATCTTTGTCCTGGTTGATGGTGCTACTCTGATCTTCCATGCAATGAAGAGAGCAGCAGTCCGCGACCTAATGGAGGGGTCAACTGGTTGTACTGGGCAGGAATTCCCAAAACTCGCATTGTCACCAAAGCTGTCCTCCATTTGAGTTATGACCTGGTGGTGTTTCTCCTCCATCCCAACCCCAGGAGCTACGTAAGGAGAGTCACATGAAAAATATTGGTACCTCCAGAGGGGATTTTTTCAGAGGCAACTTACTGTGTCCAAACCAGATTGTTTCTACCTTTTCAGGCAAGTGAAAGCCTGTAAGTAGGCAGATTGCCTTTCCCTGCACGCTGCAAATGGCTTATTCCCTGAATTGTTGATGCATCCTGAAGAAACAGGTCCTCTTTGTCATTCCAGCGAGTCAAAAAGCTTGTCTGCACATTCCCATCACTATTCATCACTTCCTTGATTGGCATTCGGCTATAAAACTGTAGGAGTAAGTGATGCTGTTGAAAATTACAAGTCTAATTTGCCCAGATTGTCATTTTACTTATTCACTGAATGCAAGCACAATAACATAAAGATGATGTAGTCTAGAGAGAGGAACGACGAAGAGTATAAAATATGTCTCGTCACAGAAATGTTTGCTCATACTGCAGTGGGGATAAACAGCTTTGCCAGTGTTTTAAAAGATGTTCAGTGATACTGGAAGAGTGAAGATGCAGAGCCCTTGAGGTCTTTGAGCAGTCCCTGAGTTTTTTGAGATTCATCGATTCAGACCTAGCCTCCATCTTTGCCTTCGCATTTATCCTTTGTTTCTTGGCACAGAAAGGTGCTGGGATGCCCTCCTGGCTCTTACTGTGGTTTCTGAGCCATCAGCATGGGACATGAGAGGTCCCGTGGATGCAATGCTGGGTACAACTGGCTGAGCATAACCTGCTGGTGTAAATTCCTGGCCAGGCTAAAGCTGATGGCCACACTCAGTCTGATGCTAGCAGTGCCACCATTGTGATCCTAATATGCATTTTATTCCAAAGTTGTCATTTTGCTATCCATTAGTTAAAGTACTTTGTGAAATTGTATTGGCGGTGTTAGAATGGAAAGCCTATTAGGTCATCTACATTGAATTCATGGGGGAAAGGTCCTGTACAGTGTCTTTTTTTTTTTTTTTTAGCCTAGACATTAGTACAAAGATCTTTTCTTGGTATCTGTTGGCACAGAGCATCATGTATTAAGCCTCAGTTCCTCAGAGTGCCATGTGAATGCTCCTGTAGCATTAATTTAAGTGATAATAATCGGTCTGGGCCAGTTTTAGCCATTGATGGGAAGTGACATGGCTTATAAACTTCCTCAAGAATCTGCATGGTTGAATAGATCTCTCCCGAAAGCTTCAAAATAAAATTAATTGCTTGTCCAATTTTTTGTCATCTTTCCATTTAAGCAGGCTTTTTTCAGACTTTCTCCTAATACAAAGGAACGTGATTTCTTCACTACTGTTGCCTCTTTCTTTTCCCCTTGGTGCTGCTGAGAAATTGGGAATAATTCTGCCATAGCCATCGCTGCCTGAACACTGCAGTGGAGCCAAAGGGAGATGGGTTCTGTGGATACCTTGGTTACTAGGGTCATGGCTGTGATGGGAGAGCCTGGGAGAGCTCATTTCATTATCACTTTAACCACTGAAGATATTTAAAACCTTGATATACAGATACCCACCTGTGTTCACAGACCCCTCCCTCCTTGGCTATCAGGGATAGGACTAAACATCCTTTTCTGGAAAGGAAGATTGAAGCTTGGTGAAACACGGGAGCGTGTTCTTTTTGGACATAAAACAAGGCTGACAGCAATGCTTGATCTACTCGGCAGCATCCCTTTATGAATGTTGCTAAATTAAATATCTCCTGAAAGTTTACCACCAGTTTTTGTACTGTGGCAGGAACAGATATCAGTGCACAGTTTTCTTTCCCTCCCCCTCCCCAGGTTTCCTATAACTCATTTGTTTAATTAAAAAGAAGAATCCAAATGCGATGTCTTTGCAAAAAAAAAAGAAACCTCATGCATATCTGTGTTGACAGTGATTGATTTTGTTGTCTTAACCCACCACTATCTCTTTTGCGAATAGATGTCAAAAGGCAGGGTAAGATACTAGCAGAATCTCTCCATTAATATTCTGGTGTGGTTGGCCAGACAAAGGGACCTGATTGAGCATATTATAGTAGCTCAGAACTTGGCAAGGGGAGAAAGGAAAGAAAAGTCATGCCTTTCGTCGTATAATTAGTTTTTAAAGCTCTGAAGGCTATTTGGCACAGGGGCAAGTGTGAAATACGCTGCCCTTATCGCTTTATAAAGGTTAGCCTTCAGTTCATTACTGAATCAGATACATTGGTGATAAAACCCAAAGATGTATCATTTCCAGGTTTGCCTTTGACGAGGAAAAGCAATGTGAAAAGAGCTTCAGAAGTGGTTGTGCTCGAGTTACGGCAGAAATTCTTGGGTTTGGGTGCAGCTTTGCAGCAAGGGGCAAGCGTGCTGTGCACCCAAGGGAAACCACATCTTCGGGGAGCTGAAGAAGATGTGCTGGCAACTTACGGGGCAACACATTTGCCTGGAAAGCCCACATTGGTCTAAAGATCCCACCACAATGCAGCTTATTGTGGTTGCAGATCTGAGATAACAAACCTGTGTTAGGAGGAGGATGGTGATTTTCCTCTCGCCTTTGACTCCAGCAAGCTCCTGAACTTGGGATCAGATTCGCAGGCAAAAGTCAATGGAGCAATAAAAAAAAAAGTGTTTCCATGTGCCACATGACTTTTCTTTTCAATGCTTTTGGGTTTTTAATGAGAATAACCAGACTGCAGGGTGCTCCAGCTGCCTGCTGCTTCCTCCCCTGCACCTCCTGTTCACCTGAGGATGCTCATCCTCACTTGCTCTGTACCAAAAGGATGGGGTATATTCGAGCAATGTGAACGGATAGCTGTGCAACGGCAGATCCTTCAGCAAATCATCCCAAATGGCATTGATCAGAACAGTTACACTATCCCAACTGCTTATCAGGATCTCTTCTCTTCCCTTGGTTTAGTTGATGCTGATCCTCTGACTGTATTTCCAATGTAAAACTGAAGCCTCTGTGCAGATGTGGCTCTGCTTTGGAAATGTGTCACTATTGGACAGGACAAAAAAGTCAAGCTGAAAGAAGAAAGCAGGGATGGGCTAAAGGATATCCCTCCAGAAGACATGATGGGAGCAAGAAAGGTGCCCTCCAGTTTTGGATGTGTATTGGGACTGTGTCTTGGGAAGCACAATCTCACCTCAGCTCCCTTGGGGCGCGCAGCCCATCTCGCCTGTGCCCTGGGAGAGCACGTCATCCATCCAACGGCAGCAAAGACACTGGGGCACGCTCCAAAGAATGAAATCTCTCCTTTCCATTTCACAGGGCAGAGCATGCAGAGCTGATGATGGGCCATCAAGCATAGCTCTACTCCAAACACAAAGCTTTGCTTAGCCCTGGGACCAAGATGCCGAGTTAAAGGAGCTCGTGGTCTGTGGCGTGATTTTGCACTGCGGTGAATTAGAAAGGCTCCCGTGAGCTCTTCCCCAGAGGGTGCTTGAGGGCTGTAAACTGGGGAGGTTGGTACAGAGCTCCTAGGACTGGTCACAGCTTGAATTACTTCAGCTGTTTCCAAAGGGATCAACGTCCTGTGAACTTCCCGTTGCGTTAATAAACGGGCTGGGCTGGGCCGGAAAGCAGAATTGGGAACGAGCTGGGAGAATTGGCAAGTCCTTCCCTTGGTGCAAAGGGAGAACCGTGATGGCAAAAACATGGAGTTCAGGTCCTACCTTGGGGTAGGGTGGTCTTCTCTTGTTCCACCTCTGTGGGCACCCAGAAGGCACTGGCCCAGGTTTTCATCAAAATCTAAATCTCAGGTTGTTCCATCTGCTGTCTGGTGGGTGGTTTTTGTAGTGCTGGGTTTGGAGCTTTCCATTATTTTTATTCTCTTTTGCTGTCTTAGTGTTTCTCCTGCCACATGGTCCTTTTCTGAAGCCTTGATGTTTTATGGAAGGCTTTTCCCCTTCTTTACCTCTCAGCTTTCCCTCCCATTCTCAGTTGTAGCTTCTCTGTCTCTCTTTCCTTGGTTCTTTTTCTCGCAATAATAAAAGGTCTCCCTCTCCAGTTTCTCAGGCTCTATTTATTATATTCACAAAACTTTTCAAGAGTGCAAGGATGATTTTGTAAGATACGCAGCAGACTGCAGACCTTTTTTCCCTCTACTGGCACTATGAATCTGAGCGTGCCATAGCTGTGAGTCATTTCCATTTGATGACAGTCTGCTCCTTTATATGAAATGGGCTTCTAGGGCTCTTTTTTGGATCCTGCAGGAAAATGTACCTCATCGCGAGCACGACTGA